CAATTGCTAAGAAATAAATGATTTTTGCAAAGTAGCGTTCTTGACAGCCGACCAATATCAGTAAAATTAAATGTAAAGAACGTGATAGAGCAGTACTTGTTATCGGTATAAAAGGCAGTGCACACAATCTCTTGATTCTTTCGAAAATTCATAATGTTAGGTATTTGACTAAAATAGCACCATAAATTGTTGAACTTATTTCTATGAAATTCAGTGTGGTGCTTCAATAATTGTGTGCTAAATGTTAATAACATATCATTTGAGTTCTTTCGATCGCGGATGAGCAGTTAGCCAAATGGAAGCAGGTCAAAATACCATCACTAAGGTCGCAGTATTGTTTAAAAATATTTAAAAAGGTCACATCTCACGATTAAAAGAGACAGCAGAAGGTGGAAATGATATGCGATAGCATGCTGGTGGTCATTGTATGAAAACCACACCTAAATAGCATATATCCCCAGTAGTGAAACGGAACAATAATGTCCCTCCTAGTTACATAGCTGCAGACCTTGCATTAACTACCGGTACACACATTTCTGTCAGAACAATCGCAACTATGGTAGATCCAGACTTGCCGTTTATGGAAAAAAATGTGTGACCACACAAGTACACTGAAGGATCGGACACATTAGAAAGTAAAGAATTTGACCGTATGCCATGGCCCGTGTGCTCCTGAAATCTAAATCTCATAGGATATGCCTAGATTGCCTTTGACAGACGTGCTTCACTAAAAACAAAACCCGTTCCAAACCATGCAATAGCAGAAAACTGCATTGAAGTAGGAGTGGGATATTACTCCGCGAAGACTCTTCGATAGTTTCGCGAGCAGCATAAATAACAGATGCAACGTATGCGTTAGTGTCAGAAAAAATAGCACATCTTACTGAAATACTCATTTCCATTTCATTCTTTCAAGACGACCCATTTTTCATGGTTCATTGGAAATCCTTCAACAAGCATCTTTTTCGTTTTTTAATGAATTATTTTTTAATATGTCAATATTTGAACTATTTTGCATAATAATAAATTGTATCGACTAAATAGGTACGAAGCATTATTTCATCAACCAACATCTATTATTAATTATCCCGAAAAAAGTAACTAATCCGTAGCAATTGTCAAACAGGGTACTTTCTTATCAATATTGTCCCATCAGTATATCTACATTTTAACAATCATATCAATACTTTCCAATTTTATCAATATTTTCCCATTTATCAATATTTTTCCATCAATCAATTTATTTTTTACCATTGAAAATGCACTGCTAACGGCCTATACCTTATTTTGTGGTTATAGTGTACTTTTTTGAGTGAAATGAAAATTTAAAGAAAAATCTAATGTTCTCGACAAATAATAATATTTTTTTAAAAAAATAATTAAAACATCTATTAAAAAAACTTTTAATTTTTAAAAAAATTCGCACCAAAAGTGAGGTCAATTTTTTTATTTTATTATCCTTTAAAATTTTATTTTTTGAAACATATGTACCCTCAGATTATCATGCTGAAAGGAAGAATTACATGGAATTATTGTAAAATCAAGCAATTTCATTTTCTTTTGTCCCGCAGTGGACTGATCGTTAAGACTCCGTTCCCAGCAAATCAACGAAGTCAAGCATCACTGGCTGCGGTCAGTATGCGGGTGGGTGACCACTTGGATCAGTCTGCGTAGGGACCGAGGGTGTGCGGTATTGGTTCTCGTTAAACTGTTCTACCGTAAAGGGCTCGACTTCGAGTGCAGGTCGTCAGGCTACTGAATCAGGGGTGAAAACCGCTCTGCAGAGGATCAAAATTGTGATGGCGTGTCTTCGTATCATTCTCAGGGATGTTTCCCTGACCGTCGCCTATAGCCCATTGTGCAGCTCTAGTGTGACGTAAATGAACTATTACAACAAAATTTTCTTTTATTTAGAATAAAAGATGCTAAATTATTTTCTTTTCCTATACAGAACCATTGCTTCTCGAAACCTTTAAAATTCAAGCCAACCTTATTTTGATCTAATATTATTATTACAATAAATATGTTCCGATTTTTACATTCTCTTTACATTATTTTTTTCGATTCTAAGCTTTCTGCATTCTTTAAGGTTTTTATCGTTAAAAATTTTTCATAAAAAAGTCACTTAAAGGAAAATCATATTTCTCATGGTCTTTTCTTGAAAAAGGGGTGATCAAATGTTTTAGTCCGGCTATTATCTGTAAAATTGAAATTTCAGGCCTTGCTTTAAAATATATATGAAAGCTTGATATAGTGTTAACTTGAGATAAAAAAAAATTTTCAGAATATTTTGATTCGAAGAGGTATTGAAGCCCGTTTTTAGAGTTTTGGAAATAATACCGTTCTGTTTTATTTAAAATATTTTTCTGACTACTGAAAATTAAAAGTTTCAATTTTATAGTATCGAATAATTAAACAAAAATTTAACTGACAATTTCGCAGGGTTATTCAACATGGATGTCATGCTCAGCGATTTCAAGCATTAATTAAATGATAGTTACTTCACATAAACTAAATATTAAGAGCTTTCTTGCCCAGTTTCTAAATTTCGAGTCAGTTTTGAAGACCAATTTTTATCACAGAATAGTAAATATTAATCTCTATTATTAACATTTAAAATATTTTAATGGATGTAATTTTGTGATACCGAAAAGAGGGACAAATGAATTGGCGATCGATTCTTAAAAGAATCATAGAAGTACAGTTACCTCCATATGATTTATTATTTTCTGTCATTCATCCAGCTGTGGGTAAAACTCAAGCGAGAAAGTGTAGTTCCGAAGTCATTGAAACACGAGGACAAGAATGCACTGAGAGTATGCGCGAACTGATTATTACTTACCATCAAAACTTACCATCAAAAGCTGATGATTGCCAGTAAGTCCTTTTTCTCATCTCTTCATAATTCTTATAAAAATAAAGAGAGTCATTCAAAATATAAAGGGAGTCATTTTCACTTCTCATAAGAAAAACCAAACATAATTAACAGAGAATGGCTTTTTTCAAGAAAAACAATAATCTACTAGACTTCTAGTACTCTTGCTTACAATTGGGTAACTTGCTGTTGACAAATCGACGTATGTTGATTCTTTATTTTACACACGTTTTTCGAAAATTAATTTTACCACGACCAATAAAAAGAAGCAATCCATAATTGCCTGAAAAGATTTAGAAAGAAGTTTCTTCTTCATGTAAAAACGACCTGACTTCTAGCACTTGTCATAAGGTTGGAAGACATTTTGTGCGTTTACTTACAGTTGAGGAACTTTCTGTTGACAAATACGCACATGCAGTCTCATTGTTTTACACACGTTTTTCGAAAATTAAATTTACCACGACCAATAAAAAGAAACAATCCATAATTGCCTGAAAAGTTTTAGAAAGAAGTTTCTTCTTCATGTAAAAACGACCTGATTTCTAGCACTTGTCATACAGTTGGATGACGTTTTGTGCTTTTGCTAACAGTTGAGGAACTTGCTGTTGACAAATACACTCATGCTGCTTCTTTATTTTACCAACGTTTTTCGAAAATTAAATTTACCACGACCAATAAAAACACTTGTCATACTGCTGGAAGACTTTTTGTGCTTTTGATTACAGTTGGGTAGCTTGCTGTTGGTAACTTGTTGCTTTATTTTTTGAAAATTAAATTTACGACGACAAATAAAAAGAAACGAAACATAGTTGCTTGAAAAGATTTATTGCAGAAGATACAATAATAGTTTCGCTTCTTCTCAACATAAGAACCAACTAAATAGTAACAGTTGTCATTACATAAAATTAGTTTTCAGTTTATAAGATGTCAGCTGGGAATGGAACCAATGAGTCAAAGTTGACTATTAGACTTCTTTTCTAAGAAAATAATGACAGGTTAAGAAATTCATCAGATTTAAAAACGGGAACAAAAAGGGCAACTTTGGGTACAAAAATAGGTGTATTGCTTCGTGATGCCAGCAGCATAAAACAAATCCCACATCCATAATCATCCATTTTGTACCCCTGATCATGCTCTTCTTGACTTCTAAATGTTCTTGAATGGAAAGAAATCTTCGCCAAGGCATTAGTTTCCTACAGACGAAGACGTGTCGTGACATGCTAGATCCATTCCAAGGTGAACCTCTATGATAAGGACCTCTATGATAGCAGACTTTAAAAACTAATTTTACGGTATAGTAGTTTTAATATGTCGATGATTCCTTTGTTGAGAACAAAAATAGTGCTATATTTCTGTAACAAATATTTTCAGGCAGTTACATTTTATTTATTTCTATGGGTCTTGGTAAATTTATTATCAGAAAAATCTTAATAAAGCAAAGCATCTGTGTGCGTCGATTTACAAAAAAAAAATTTTTCAGACATGAAACTAAATTTCAAATTTATATTTTACGCTTCTTACGTTGTTACGTCTTTTACTTGTTACGTCTTTCTTACGTTGTAAGAAAGAGTGCAGACACATACGAAAAGTGTTTAAAAAAATTAGTCTTCAGTTTAGTGATCGTGCATATTCTTTATTCTGTTAAAAAGAACTCTAGTGATTCGAAGGCAAAAATTTTTATAGGCTTATGATGGAAACATTACTTTCTATTTTTGTTACATTGAGAAATCCTATTAAAATTGAATTATCTCGTTGTACTATATTGATTAAAAACGAAAAAAGTATTTAAAAAAAATTTTTTTATCATATTGCTCAAAAAGTAATCCCAAAAATTGAAATTGCTTTAAAATGATTAGAATTCAATTGTAAAGACAGAAATAGAAACCAATTAAAGACATTTTTTATTAAAAAATATGACTTCCAAAATTAATTAAAGAAAAATTAAACCAATAAATTAGTTTTTATTGGAAGCATAGTGACACTTAAAACCATAATGAGACACCCAGTAATCAATCGATTCCATCTGGAAAAAAATTTATATTTGTTTCTGAAACTTGAAGATTTAGAAAAAAATTGGAAATTAGTATGAAAATATTCAAATTATTTATTTATTTATTATTTTTAGAATAGCGAAGACTACTGAAAACTGTTTGAGATCACTCGCCGATGATTGTCTAGATGAGAGTGAAATAGCTCAACTAGAAAACACATTTCATGCAATAGAAGTCTTAACGCAAAATTGCCCAGAAACAGGTATGGTGTTTCATGACTGTACTTGAGAAAAATTTGTGTCTCATAGATGAGAAAATATACGTCTCATCAGAAAAATATGTGTAGTTTGAAAGATGACTTCATATGACTTCATGTTTGAATGATGACTTCATGTGACTTCATGTTTGAATGATGACTTCTATGAGGCTCCACCCCTGCAAGCTAACGCTCGTTCGCCCCAGAACTGCTTTCGTAGTTCATTTCGAATTGCTTTGCTCGGTCAATTGGATAAATTTTTTTCATCCAGCTTTGCACACTTTTTTGCAGACTTAAGTTTAGAAAAAATAGTTCATAAAACTTTTTTCTCTACAAAACTCAAAATATGTATTAAAAATAATTATTAAAAATTAGTCATGCAAGAAATTATCTTTGTATAAACGAATTTTTTTATTGTGAGCAAAAAATGTTTCAATTCTTTAAAAAAAGTTCTCGAAATATGGTGAATTAAGAAAAAAGCAAAATTAGCATTAACGGATCAAACCTTTGACCATTCTTCTGGCCGAATTCATAGGACCATATTTTCCAGAATGCGGATACCTCTTATACTTTGCCGGTTTGGAAGAGAAAGTATGTTTTTGAGTCTGAATTCGTTTCTTAAAGTATTAATTAGCATATTTGAGGTCCCCCCTCGAACCATTAAGAATGAGTCCTAGAACGAGAAGATCCGATTATTAGCTCAAAATATATTCGGGGTGGTCCATTTTTTCTGGTACATTGCACTGTAAAAATATTTTTACATTGTAATTTGTATTTATTAATATTGAGAACAGAAATCTATGGTACTTATTACGGAGAGAATAATTTTATAATACTGTTGGTAAAAATTTTAGCATTGGAAGATTTTCATGTTTTTCTTATCATGTAACTCAAATGCCGTGTAATTGCTATAAAACAAAAAATACCCAGCATGAAAATGAATTTATATTAAAACTTAAAAAAAGTTAATTTTATTTGCTCTAAAAAGATATCCCATGTGTGAAGGATCATCCCTCATTATTTGTTTTTCTGGTCTTTATTAAAAACCTTAATCATCTCGGCAGCACTGTTTTTTCCTGTAATAATTTATGGCGTTAGTAGAGATCCTGTAATAGTTCACTTTTTTTTATATTATCATAAAAAATTACTTCAGTAGATACTTCATTCACTCAACAAAGAAAACTGATCTCGTGTGATATTTTACACATGATAACTTAAGTTTTTCTTTTCTGTATGTGTAAGATTTTTAAACTTACTTAATCGTTTTGTTTCATTTATAGACTTTAAGTCCCAAATTTATAGTCATGTTGTTCCTAAAGAATTGTTGAACGTGAAAATAGTAAGCTGGAAGCAGATTTTTTTAGTGATTTTGAATACAATACAAGCGTTAATGTGAAAGGCAATGTGAAGGGAAAATAAAGAGATATTCACAGAATGTAGAAAATCAATCACACAATTTAATTGATACTTTACATTTCAGTCTTCTTTATATTTTTGTCACATAAGCATAAAAATTATATTGACTGAGAATAGCAATTTAATTTTTTTAAGAAATCAGTATTATATATATATATATATANCTTACATTTTTGTGGATTCTGAAAATAAATATGAGAGATGGTCTTAACGGAAAATCTTGTATGTACAAGGAAAACTGGTAATAAATATATTGCGAAATGCACAATAAGTACCTATTAAATTTGTAAGAGGCCCCGCAATATTATTTAAAATTACTGGAATAATAATAATAATAATAATTTTAATGAAATATGTGTTCGTAACTGTTATTATTCACTTTATATATATATATATCCGTTATAGTTGATTCAGAGTTAACTGATAGTTAACTGATACATCTAAGGTGTAATCAGTTTTTAGAACTCTCCCTCTCTATATCTTAAGGACAAATCGCTCTTCTAATTGAGGTCAAACTTAGGTCAAGAATTTTCTGGAAGAATTTACTGGAACATTTTTTTTGTAACGGACACTTTTGTTTGCTGACCTCTAGAAAGTTTGGAAGCGTACAAACTATAATACCGAAGATTAAAAGATGAAAAAATTAGCTCATAGCTTACATGGCGAGAAAAACTTAAAATTAGGATTGAAATGGAAGTTAAAAAAGTAAAAATGCTCAAATGAGTATTGGGTAACAAAAGTGGTAGAAGGAAAAAATGTGTGATGAAAAACATCACAGAGATAATTCGCGATCTCAACGCTAGAGAATGCCCTCTAGCGGGAGCATAAAAATATCAGGCACTTATTTATTAAGTTTTCCTTTAGTTCCTTCAGAATCAATTTCAGAGTTAGACTCCATTTTCAAGGCGGCAAACAAGAAGCAAAGTTTCTCGAGAGCCAAAGAACTTGATAAACTCTCCAGAACATTTGTTAATATTTCGCAACTTCTGCGGCGGTGGCGTTAGTACGTAAATACCAAAAATTCGGCAGGAATTCAACTATTCTGTTTTTAAGTTACATATCGAAATTCATATTGAGATCTAGCAATTATAAAATTTCATTGCGTGGTAAGTCATCTTAAAGTAATGAAGGGATAATCTGTGTACATATTATTTGAGAAGAAAGTTTACAGATGAAGTAAATATTATTTTGGAATTCTCCGGCTTTATAAAGCGGGTAAGTGTTATAATTAATAAATTGAAAAATTTTACTTGCAAATATTTTTTTTCTTATTTGATGATAATTTTCTGTAGAATGGTTTTCTACTTCCGATTATAAATTTTAAAAAATAAAAAAAAACATGTAAGTTTTTTTTAATGTGAGGAATTTTTAAAATTGTTTTTTTTTTTTCGTAAGCATTCCTTATTTTGCGTTTTTTAGTTTCTAAATAATGATTTTTATTAAAACTTAAAATTTTTTGATAAAAATTTTTATCAAAAAACATTTTTAACAAGATTAAATTATTTAAAATTATGAGGCTTATGTATACTTTTTGCTTATTTTAATGTTTGAAGTAATATGATTATGGAACGTAAAATATTTATAGGCGTTTCAAATTATATTATTAAATTTAGTATAACTATTTCTCAGGCGTTAGGTTTTAACTCTAACAAGGAGATACATATTTTTTTCCATCTATTTACAAATATTTTTCCGATGTGTCTTGGATGTTCTTTCTCTAAAAAAAAAACGAGATACCATTTTATTTTCGTTGGCATAAGAAAGAATATCAAACATTTTTCACTTTTAAATTTAATACGCCACAATAAATAAGGAAGGTTACAATGCTACACGCTACATTACAGACGTCTCCAGAGTAACTGAATGACTGTTCATGTATAAATCGCGGATATACGTCTCATACAACAAAGCCCCCTATAGTTCGTTGAGATCGCGAATACAGAAAAAGATAAAGAAAACTTAATTGGTAATGGTAGAAAATGCTGAATCTTTGTATGACGGCGAATTGCTTAGCGCCTGCTGGGATAACCATAAAAAGAATTTGTGCTTTAATTTCCAGTTCATCCGAATATTTTCTCACAGTTAACCAATCTTAATGGCACGATTTCATATAATCTGAGGAAAGAAATCTTAAAAATATTTGATAAATAAAGTTTGTTGAAACAGTGTAAATACTTCCATCCACTGTAGGAATGGAAAATTTTTATGAAGGCTGCTCCGTGAAAACTTCCCTCAATAAAAATTTAAGAATCCTTATAGAAATGATAACGAAAAAATATGTCCATTTAGAGTCTCAAATTACTATTAAAAAAAATAATCGAAATCACCAATCAAATCGCAGTAAAAGAAAGTGAATGTAATAAACAACAAGTCTGGTTTGATTGCGGCTGGAAGCAAAGAGGATTTGCAAAATGAGTGTTAGTTTCAATTCAAGTTTCAACCTCCATTTAAACCTATTACGATGTTTTGTCACATTCACCTACTTTTACAAAAAATCATCAGATTTAGATCGTGTTTTCGTTTATTCCTAGTTTAAATGTTAATTTGCTATCCCCAATGTATATGTTTTTTTGCTTACATTTTTGTGGATTCTGAAAATAAATATGAGAGATGGTCTTAACGGAAAATCTTGTATGTACAAGGAAAACTGGTAATAAATATATTGCGAAATGCACAATAAGTACCTATTAAATTTGTAAGAGGCCCCGCAATATTATTTAAAATTACTGGAATAATAATAATAATAATAATTTTAATGAAATATGTGTTCGTAACTGTTATTATTCACTTCATCATCTCATTCTTATCTCATTTACATATTTTAAAATAAATATTAGATTTTTTTAAATAAATGTCATTTATTGAATCCACTATGCCGCTCTCTGGAGTTTTTAAGTGGAACCTTTCAAGGGTTAAATAGTTAAAAAGGTTAAATGGATAGCATGGAGTCCTAAATTTAATTCTTGGCCGAAATATATCTATGGAAATGATATAAAATGGACCTTCTATGGAATTTGTTTTCGAGGGAAAGATCTATTTCACGATAGTACTTTAAAGAATTGCGAAGTAAAGACGGGCTTTGATGAAAGGATTAAGTTAAGTCTTATAAATTACGACAAATATCGGCAGTAAAATTTCCTGTACAAACCAAACTGCTACGAAAGATTATTTCTAGTGACAATTTAAACAACTTAGTAGTCGTTGAGTTGAATTTGAGAATTTGAGAGGAATTTTTAGGTTTTTTCTTCCTCTGACTTGTGACTTGTTAATTTTATTCAAGATGACGAGGTAGCATGTTTTTGCTATTAAAAGTTGTTTAGTAGGTTGTAACCATATTACGTAAAATCTTATATAAAAATCTCTTGTCACAGTTTTAGTGGCTGTTTCACATTCCGTCATCGTTCACGGCGCTCCATGCCTCTTATGCCCCATGCCTCCATGCCTCTCACTCATATACCACACTTACAATAAATAAGATAAATTTTCATACTCTAGAAATAATTCATATGGCGAAACAACGTTTGCTCGGTCAGCTAGTCTATATATATAAAAATCTCTTGTCACAGTTTCAGTGTTTATACTCCTTCGAAACGACCTGACCGATTTTGATGAAATTTTGTATGTATATTCAGTAGGTCTGAGAATAAGTTTATAACTAATTTTTTTTAATTTTTTGGTCGGATTTAACGTATATTTTAAATATATCTTTATTTAATCGTCTTTGACTAGACATAGAAACATGATAAATCAGAAACAATATTCACGCACGTTGCAACAAGTCACATCTAACTCTAATACTTATGCTCGCCCTTAAAAGAAGAGTATCAAATATATTTGCAAGTATGTGAATAGAGGCAGTGATATGGCAGTATTTCGAGTTGAAAATACCAATGTGACTGCTCTTCCAGTGAATAACAACGATGAAATAACGCTGTACCTTATTGACCGGTACATCAGCTCCAATAAAGCTGTTTGGCGTATCTTTGGTGTCCCAATTCGTGAACGGGATCCAACCGTTATTCGTTTAGCCGTCCATCTTGAAAACTGTCAGAGCGTATATTTAACGAACTAGACAACGATTGACTGAGCTATAAATCCACCAAAAACTACTCACCGAATTTTTTGAATAGAGTAATCGTGTGGATATTTTGGTGCCTTTGCATAGACATTACTCTACTTAAAAGTACCACACTATTTCACAAGGGATCAAACAAAAAAATGAACACCCTGCAAGCAAGTCACACCGGTTGATGCATGTCCCGGTTTATTCAAATCAAACGCCTTGGGGAGAGTATTTACAGTCAACCCAAGGCAGACTGAGTGCTTTTATTTTCGACTGTTGTTGGTTAATGTCACCGGCTAATTGTCATTTCAAGATATACGTAAAGTCGATGGACATCAGCATCCATCGTATGCATGTCTTGCACTCGGCTTGCTGGAAGACGACAACCAGTGGGAATGTATGCTTGCTGAAACTGTACTGCAAAGCAAATTCGTCTACTATTTGCTATAGTATTAACTACGCGTTTCCCGGCCCGTATAGAAACGTTATGGGGTAATCACAAAGATTCGATGACTGATGATATACGGTATCAACATAGCACTCGTTGTAACGATCTAACGATAGCATTCAGTCATGCTATGTACAATGAATATTATTGCCAACTTGCCACTCAGTCATTTCGGTATGCTTTCGCCAAATCGAAGTGCATCTGATTTATTAAACTCTGACATGAGTCGTGAACTTCATTACAATATGATAGAAATGACAGCGATTGTTACTCGCAATGCTCCACTAATGAATGAGGAACAAAGGAACATTTATGACCGCATTATGCTCGCAGTTTCGGCAGGATAGGGTGGATTTCTTTTTCAGATGTACCAGGTGGAACTGGCAAAGCATTTATTATTTTGCTAATTCTTGATGAAATACGATCAAATAATGGCATCACGTTGGCCGTTTCATCATCTGTCATTGCGGCAACTTTATTGGATGTAGGCAGAACAGCTGATTCAGTATTTAAGCTGCCACTAAATATTCAAAACACGCCAGATGCAGTGTGCAACATAAAGAAGCAATCGTCTATGGCCATAGTGTTGAAACACTGCCAAATTATCATCTGGGATGAATGCACTATGGCACACAAACATTCGTTTGAGGCGTTGAACAGGACATTGAAAGATAGGAAAAACAATGGCAAATTATTTGACGGCACTGTGTTACTCCTTTCAGGTAATTTCAGACAAACACTTCCCGTCATTCCGCGTTAAACGTACGCTGATGAGATCAATGCTTGCTTAAAATCATCTCCACTGTGGCGCAATGTTGAAAAACTTCAACTAAAAGTAAATATGCGCGTCCAAATGCTTCAAGATCCATCTGCTGAAGCATTCTCACAACAATTGTTAAATATATCTGTGATGGAAAAGTTACTAAGGATGAGACTGGATGCATAAAATTACCGGACGATTTCACAATCATTGATTCACAAGATGCTCTCATTAACCTAATATTTCTCGATGTACACACGCAATACATTCATCATGAGTGGCTGGCAGAAAGGGCAATTTTAGCAGCAAAAAATGTGGACGTTAACGAATTGAATCTGAAGATACAACAGTTATTGCCAGGTAACTTGGTGACATATAAATCCGTTAATGCAGTTTGCGATCCCATTGAAGATGCAAAACTCATTGGATTTACTAGGCATACCACCGCATAATTTAGTACTCAAAGTTCCGTCTCCGGAAGTCCGTTCCGTTCCGTCAAAGTTGCATCTCCGGTTATTTTGCTCCGTAATTTGAACCCACCACGGCTGTGCAACATCACGCTATTAGTTGTCAAAAAATTAATGAACAACGTTATCGAAGTCATTACTTTTAATGACAAATTCTGGGGTGAAAGTATATTGCTTCCACGAATCTCTATTATACCCTTTGCCAATTTAATTTAAACGCATTCAGTTCCCCATTAGATTGGCATTTTCAATGACAAAGCCAAACAATGTGTTTGTGTGTTAGCTAAAGAAGGCCAAAAAAGATTGTACACTCCATTTCACTAAGAGATTAATATTGTTGATTAATATAATCAGAATTCATTGTATATATAACTTACAAAAAAAAGTTACAATAAATTGAAAAATCTATTATTTGGTGTGTTGTTATTTTCACATTCCGTCATCGTTCTTAGCGCTCCATGCCTCTTCCACTCATATACCACATACGCACACACTTACAATATATAGGATAGGTATATATATATAAGCTGAAATATTGAGAAAATATGGAAAAAAATAAAAAAATAAAGACTAGAGAAGAAAATTATTAAAGATAATTTTTCAAAAGTATTTAAAACAATATAATTTCTGATATCAAAAAAAAAAAAAAAACGAATTAAAATCAGGAAAACAAAATATGGAAAAGATATCTCTTCATCAGCCCACATGATTTATTGTGCTATATATATATATATATATATTATATATTAGAGTTTTGAGAATAATACCTTTCTGTTTTATCTAAAACTAGGGGGCTGCGCCCCCTGCTCGTTAACGCTCGCCAACCCCCGAAAATTGCTACGCAATCTTATATGATTTGCTTCGCAAACCAAGACCGCTTCGCTCGCTACTAACTTAGGTACATTGCAAATGTACAAAATTCTAAGAATTCAAAACAATCATTCAAATTCATATAAAAACTTTTTTTTAAAAACTTTTTTTTAAAATCTTTTTGGTAAATACTAAGTCATTGAAGTAAATTTGATTTCAAATAAATGACATGTAATTCATGAAACCTATTAGAAATGTGCTATAGTATGATTTGTGATATAAATCAAAAATCGTCAAATAAATTCGTAATATATAAATTCGTGAAAAAAAGCGCTTTCGACAAAATACTAAAATAGAGATCTATCGACAAAAACTACTCACTTCTGTCTAGCTTAATATTATGAGTTTGCCGCAGCTGATGCTCTCTGGTTATTTCATTTTTCGTTTTTAAAAGTGCTATATGTTGAGCCACCTCAGCTAGATTTGGCATGTGACATTTTTAGCGGCAATTATTGGTCGATTCGCCGTGTAAGAGAAATAGTAACGTAAACAAAACAAAGCAAACGTTGTTACCGGCGGAAAAGAAATACCACCAAAATTTGGGAGAAACGTAAGAGAATTATATATATTCGATATTATTCTGACGAAAATTAAAAGCTTCAACTTTATAGTAATAAATAATCAAACTAGAACTTAGCTGACAGTTGCGCAGGGTTATTTTTTTTACTTATTCAACATAAATGTTAAAATCAGCGAATTTAAGCATTAATCAAATGACAGTTACTTCAAATAAAATAAATATTAACAGCTTCCTTTACAATTTTCCAAATTTTGAGTCAGTTTTCAAAACCAATTTTCATCATAGAATAGAAAATATTAATCTCTATTATTACTCCAATTGAAACAGCTTAGTGGATGGAATTTTGTAATTCCGAGAAGATGGAAAAATGAATAAGAGATCGAATCTCAAAAGAAACATGGGAATTTAGTTACCTAAATATGATTTATTATTTTCTATCATTTATCTAGCTGTGGGTAAAATTCAAGCAGAAAGGTGCAGTACCGAAGTCATTGAAACACGAAAAGAAGAATGCATTGAAAACATGCTCAAACGGCTTAAAAAAGAACGAACAGAGGCCGAAGTATGCCAGTAAGCTCTCTTTCTCATCTCTATATAATTCTTATAAAAATAAAGAAAGTCATTTTCACTTCTCGTAAGAGAAACCAAATATAATTTCTAGAGAAACACTTTTGGTAAGAGGAGCAATAATCTCATACCTGCCAACTCTTCCGGATTTTCCGGAAGATTTTATTTTCATATTTAAAGTGGTAGTAAGTATATACTATTTTTCCTTTTATAAACTTAATTTTTAGATGATTTTGATCACCACTATTCTTACAAAAATTAAGCACATATATTAATATGCGTTACTATCATGGTTGTTAACATAAGTTTTCTCAAAAACAACGTATTTTTTTACTTAAAATTGAAGTTTTAATTCCATTTTAATACCACTGGGAAAAATGATAATGGAAGGGATTAAAAGTTGGCAGGTATGTAATCTACCAGACTTCTAGCCCTTGTCATACAGTTGGGTAACTTGCTGTTGACAAATCTACGTATGCTGATTCTTTACTTTACGAAAGTTCATCGAAATTTAAATTTACCACGACCAATAAAAAGAAACAAAATTACCTGAAGAGATTTAGAATCAAGTTTCATCTTTATGTAAAAATGACTGGACTTCTAGCACTTGTCATACAATTGGATGACTTTTTTTGCTTTTGCTTACAGTTGGGTAACTTACTGTTGACAAATCGACACAAGCTGATTCTTTATTATACGAAAGTTTATCTAAAATTAAATTTACCACGACCAATAAAAAGAAAGAATCCATAATTGCCAACGAGTCACATTTGACTGTTAGTTTTCGTCCCTAGGAAAATGATGACAGGTTAGGAATTTCATCAGACGCTAAAACAGGAATAAAAAGTGCAACTTCGTGTACAAAAGTAGGTGCACTGCTTCGGGGTAATGTGCTCGGCAGCATAAAACAAATCCCACATCCATAATCATCCATTTTATACCCCTGATCTTTCTCTTCTTGACTTCTATATGTTCTTGAATGGAAAGAAATTTTTGCCAAGGCATCAGTTTTCTACAGACGAAGACGTGTCGTGACATGCTAGATCCATTCCAAGATAGACCTCTATGATAAGAACCTTTATGATAGCGGACGTTAGAAACTAATTCTATGGTATAGTATTTTTAACATGTCGATGATTCCTAAGTTTAGAACAAAAATAGTGCTATATTTTTTGTAATAAATATTTTCAGGCAATTATTTTTTATTTCCTTTTATGGGTCTTGGTAAATTTAATATCCGAAATATCTTAATGAAGCAAAGCATCTGTGTGCGTCAATTTATAAACTAAAACATTTCAAACATGAATCTAAGTTTCAAATGTATAATTTACGTTTCGAAAACTGATTATCGGAAAACATTGTTTTTTTGTTGTTGTTTTTTTTAATGTAAGAATAAAACATATTAAAGAAATAAAATCTGCTGAAGAGAAGGTAGGAAGAGAGTTTACACAAGAATAGTTGGGGGGGGGGCATGACGCTTGTGCAGAGAGTCGTAAAAAAGAGTGCAGTCACAAATGATAACTGTTAAAAAAATTTTGTTTTCAATTTAGTGATCGTGCATATTCTCTATTCTATTAAAAAAAACTCTAGTGATTCGAAAGCAAGAAATTTTAAAAGCCTATGCTAGAAACATTGCTTTCTATTTCTTGTTTCTTTGAAGTCGTATTAAAATTGAGTTATCTCGTTGTATATTGATTAAAAACGAAAAAGTAATTTTAATTTTTTTCAATCAAAGTCATTTTGTTCAATCAAATATGTTCCTCAAAAAGTAATTCCAAAAATTGAAATTGTCTTAAAATTATTAGAATTCATTTAAGAAGGCGGAAAAAGAAACTGATTAAAGGCTAATATTTTTTAATAAAAAATATGACTTCTAAACTTAATTAAAGAAAAATTGAACCTATTAAGTAGTTTTTATCTGAAGCATAGTGACATAGTAACACTTAAGGCCATATTGAGACACCCAGTAATCAATCGATTTCATCATTAAAAAAAATTATATTTGTCTTTAAAACTTGAGATTTAGAACAAAATTGGATTTCAGCATGAAAATATTTTAATTTTTTAATTATTTATTATTTTTTTAGAATGGCGAGGACTGGTAATAGCTGTTTGAGATCACTCGCTGAAGATTGTCTAGATGAGAGTGATATAGCTCAACTAGACGACGCACTCCAGAAAATCGACAAAAAATGCCGAAAAACAGGTATGGTGTTAATAACTGTACATGAGTACAGTTTGAATGATGACTTCACGTGTGAATTAACAAATATATGCATTAATACTAGGAGGCACCACCATTGCTTGCTAACGCTCGTCCACCCCCAGAACTGCTCTTTCAGTTCCTTTCGGATTGCTTCACTAGGTCATTGGATACATTACTTTCGTCCTGCTTTGTATACTTTTTTAAAGACTAAAGTTTAGAAATTTTAGAAAGAATAATTCATAAAACTTTTTTCTGTTCAAAATTTTAAATATATATAAAATAAAAAATAATTATTGAAAATTAATCATGCAAGAAATTATCTTTAGATAAGCAAAATTTTTAATTTTTACAAAATTTTTTCAATTCATTTAAAGATGTCTCGTAATATGGTGAAACACGAAAAAGGTGAAATTGGCATTAACGGGTCAAACCTTTGACAACTCTCCTAACCAAATTAATTACATATTTCCTAGATAGCAGTTACCTCTTATATTTTGATGGTCTGGAATCCGAATCGGTCGAAAATAAGGTATGTTTATTCAAAGAAAGTACGTTTTTGAGTCTGAATTCGTTTCTTAAAATATCGTCTGTACTTATTAATTAGCATATTTGAGATCATTCCCTCGAACTATTGAGATGAAGTCCTAGTCCTTGATAAACCTTGAATTCAGTGTGGTCCGCCTCTTTTTTACGATCTGTACATACATACGTGATGTTTATATTTAAATAAAATTTATAATAGTTTTAAATAAATGCATGTTTAATGAAATCGCAATTTGAATAGTGTGATATTACTGACAAAAGCATTTTTAGTTGTAGTTGAAATGAGGGTTAGAATCTTATTATCGTTAAGAAATTTTCATTGTTTTCCTTTTATTGATGTGAGGAAGGTGGTTAATTTTTAGAAGTTTTCATTAAAGAAAAGTTTGTCTAACTGTTTGTCTGCCGTGCCGAGTTCAAAATTAAGTTAAAGGAATAAAAATTGTGAGGGTGGTACAGACAGGAATACGATAAAATTTCATTCTCTCATGTTACCAATTTATTGTAAGTTGCTAAAATTAAATTATTTGATATTGCAACAAACGCAATACGTTTCTTTATAAATATGTAAAAATCGTAGAAAAATCGAACATAGACAATAAGATTAAATGCTCTGCCAATTACGAAATATCCAATATTTTGACATTGTAATTTGAAATTATTAATATTGGAACAGAAATCCATGGTACCTATTACGGAGAGTATGTTTTTATAAAACTGTCGGTAAAAATCTTAGCGTTGAAAGATTTTCTTGTTTTTCTCATCATGTAACTCAAATGCGGTGTAAGAAAAATGCAGTGTCAAATGCGGTCAATACGGTGTAAAAACCAAAAAATTACCCAGCATGAAAACAAGTTTATTTTAAAACTCAAATCGAAAGTTAATATTATCTGCTCTAAAAAGGTATTCATGTAAGAAAAATCACCCCTGATTAATTATTTTTCTTGTGTTTATTAAGAAACTTAATGATCTCGACAGCACTGATTTTTCCTGTAATAATTTATGGCGTTAGTAAAGATCCTGTAATAGTTCGCTTTTGTTAAATTATCTTTAAAAAATTACTATATTAAGAACTCCGCAAAGAAAACTGATCTAGTGTGATATTTTACTCATGATAATTTAAGTTTTTCTTTTCTGTAAGTATAAGATTTTTAAACTTGCTTAATCATTTTATTTCATTTATGGACTTAAAGCCGAAATCTATAGCCTTACTGTTCTCAGAGAACTATTGAACGTGAAAAAAATACGCTAGATGGTGATTTGGAATACAATATAAGCGTTAATGTAAAAGACAATATAAAAGGAAATGAAAGAGAAGCTAGATTCACAGAATGTAGAAAATCAACCACACAATTTCATTGATACTTTCCACTTCAGTCTTTATATTTTTGTCACATAAGCATAAAAATTAAAATTACTTTGACTGGGAATAGCACATTAATCTTTAAAAAAATCAGTATCAAATATATGTATGTATATATATATANTAAATATATATATATATATATTCGAGGCCGTTCACTGGAATTAAGTGAAACCTTTCAAGGGTTGTTGTTGTTTTTGCCGTTGTTTGTAATGACACTTTCTGCACGGGCAAGCCTGCGTGGTGAAGCCGAGTAATTTTAAGACAGAGAGTGCGTTTCTTGTTTTTCAGTGGAGTCATCCTATGGTCAAGAATTCGTCTTCAGTCACACACACGTCACAGCACTTTTTATAGGGCGGACTCATTCACACATCCATTCATTCATCCTCACATCGTAATTTTGACCTGAATCAGAGAATGATCGATCTCCAATCCAGTACCCCAGAGATTTTGATTTACTATGGGAACATGGAGGACTTTGAGTCTCGACAGATTTTACGTGCATCAGTCACCGTTTACTACACGGGGAGTCTTCCACAGGTGGGGTTCGAATCCACGAACCCTCGGACATGGGCCCAATGCCCTATCGACAAGACTATCCCTGCCTTCTCAAGGATTAAAAAAGTTAAAACGCTAAATGGAGCATGGCATCCTAAATTTATTACTTGGCCCAAATTTATCTATAGCAATAATATAAAATGGACTTTCGATGAACTTTGTTTACGAGAGAAAGATCTATTTCTGAATAGTACTTATAGAATTGCAAAGCAAAGACAGACAGCTCTTGGTGAAAGGATCAAGTGAAGTTTTATAAATTACGACATATATCGGCAGTAAAATTTCCTGTACAAACCAAACTGCTGTTAAAAAATATTTCCAATGACAATTTTATCAAACTTAGTCGTCGTTCAGCGAATTTGGGATGAATTTTTAGGTTCTTTCTTCCTCTGCACTTAGAGACTTGTTAATTTCATTCAAGATGACGAGGTAGTCTGATTTCGTAATTAAAAGTTGTTTAGTAAGTTGAAACCATATTGCATTAAATAAGGAGGTAAACTTTTATGTGTCATAGGTAACAATAAAATAGAATAAGAAAAATCGGACAAATTTTCTTTTTCCTTAAATATTAGTTTAACAGCCATAAATGTGAAGTAATCATGCAGGCTGAAAAGCAAAGCATAGAAAAAGCGGAACCTCCTAGTAAAATATAACTACATAATTGACAAAAAAGTGTGTGACTGGTGTGTCATGCAGGTTAAGTCTCCAGAGTGTCGTGACCAGTTGTATGGTTGTGATAACGTGTTTAGAATTGTGAGCAAACCACCTTCTCAGACAACCTATTTTGCTTCTATATAACCAGATACCTATTTGTTCTTTATTCCGCCATAAGGAATCGTGTCCCATTCCTTCACTATATATTAAGAAAAGGCCTCCAAGTGTATTAAAAAAAGTTTATATTTATGATGTTGTTTCATTAATTATTTCAGAAACAAATGAGCCTGATGATGAGACAAATAAAGCTTGTTTAGAGGACAAAAAAGATTACATACTTGGTTGCCTTGGAGAAAATCAAATGAGAGCATTGTCACACTTTTCTCCTCAAAAAAATCCAAATGAAAATGATGTCAAGTGCACGTAAGTATACACTATACGCGTATTTGAAAATCCGATTACTTGTTAGAGATATAAGGGCTATTTTTCTAGAGAACTATTGCTTTCAGAACAGTTAGGAAGATATACTAATAATTAACAAATTCATACTTAGTTTGTCAAAATATGAATATTTTGAAGATATCGGTTAGTAAAAGTTATAGAACTTAATTTATGGCGCACTAAATCTGCTCAATTGGTTATTGGCGAGGGTCTGAAAAATCTACCCTGAAGAACAACCCTGACTGAGGTAACCCAGGTCTAAAGAGAATAGAAGAGCTGGTTCACTCCTTTGAAGAAACTCTCGCCGCGCCAATCCTCCGATTTTCTCTAGTGACTTCACTTTGGCGCAAAGCTCGCACTTTTAGTTCAAGAACAAAGCGTTCGGCCTTACTAGCTCTAACTAATATTGGAGCATTTCTTTTTGTGACATATTCTAAGACATTTATTATTTTCTATAATGACTTTCCTCAGTTTTTGTCGTGAATTTACAAAATTTTAAAACTATTAACGAAATATCAGTTTGCGCGATTGCAACTTGAAAAAATTCTGATAGAAAAACAAAAGGAAAAAATATAATTTTCCGCGTGTTCCCTAAAGTAAATGAACAACTATGTTAAGAATGGATTCCGAAATGACGCAGTTAATATAAAACAGCAATACGTTTTTTCTATAGTTAAGAACATTTATAAAAATTTGTTATCTAAATAGAAACCGCCTCGTTACTTCAAAAAGAAAAGCATGTGAAAAAAATTAAAAAATGGAAAAATCCAGAGAAAATTAAAACGTAAGTAAAAAGTATAAACAAAATATATAGTGTTCAGTTGAAATTCTCCTAATTTCATAACTTATTTTTTTAATGTAGTTATTCTAAATATTTCTGATTCTTTTATAAATTATATTCTCTTGAATTTAAATATCTATGAATTATATCATCTTAAATTTAAATATCTATAAACAATTGTAAAATTTCTAATGTCATTATGAACCTAAATTATTATTTTGTTTCAGTAATTAGCGTTTAAGGTTGATGTTTCCTAATGATTAAGTGTGAACAAATTGCCATTAACGGCATATTTTAAAATCGAGGATTCTTAATTTAACTCAACTTATTGTTATAAAAGAATATGTAGATAAAAAAAGTGTCGGTATATGCTTTCATTTTTCTTAATAATTAAAGTTAAAACTGAACTTTTTAAAATAAAGTATTTATAGTGTCATTTTCGCCAACTAGCAAAATATTTTTATAAGTTTAAAATGGTATTTTTTTAATATAATGGCCAAGAAAGTATTTTTGAACTATGTTTATGAACGGAAATAATGTGTTAATTACGTAAAGTTTGAAAGCTAATAGCCAGAAAAAGTCTAACTTATTTTTACAAAGAGAAAGATGCTAAGTTATCATAATATCTTTGCTTGCAATCTCCGAGATCTGTGGACACAGTGACGTCACGATGAGGGAAATCGTATCTTCAGCTCTAAGAGCGGAGTGAACTAGCCCTTCTATTCTCTTTAGCCCTGGTCCCAAAAAGCGCGCAAATTCGATCACTTTACGGTAGAACAGTTTAAGGAGGACCGATGTCACATATTCTCTGTCCTTTCCTAAGCTTATCATAATAGTCATCAACCCGCTTACTGACCGACACCATTGATGCTTGAGCTCGGTAATCACCTGGAGATATTGTCTTACGATCAGTCCACTTTAAGAAGAGGATATTTTTTAATGGTTCAAATTTTATACAGCTAGGTACGACCAGATACATGTAAGAATTGTGTATATATTTAGTACCAATTAAAAGCACCAATTGACATAATACCATTCACACCTATTACTGAATTCAATAAAACATCATTGGCGTTTGTAATAATAAAGTGATTTTTTATGGTTTTCCTATATGGATAAGTATCTTTTCTGTATTAATTTAGCTTTTTTAGACAAAACTATTTTTATTTAAATGTTTCAAGTTTTAATGTGGCATTATCTATTTAAATGCACGAGGCTCACACAAAATTCATTTGATTTATTTTTATTTAGATAAAAAATTAAAACGTGCAAAGGAAAAGAAAAGTATATATTTGTGAGAAAAATTCTCATATCTCCACAAATAGAAGTATTTATTTTTCACAAATACTTGAATATTTTGCATGTTATGAATATTTATTTCACAACACATCAGTAAATCTGTTGTGCGCCTACAGTAAATTGATGCGTTTGAAGTATTTATTCTTATTATGATAAGTATATAGGAGCAAATTCTAAAAGACTTTTTATTTACCTATATAGGGTATACAACTGGATTGCTGATTGTGCGATTGAGCTCGCAATAAAAAAATGTGGTGCTGGCGCAGGTGATGAAATGCTAGAAGAGTTGAACAATCCTCCAACAGAAATAAAAGAAGCTTGTATTGCTGTAAATAGACCTCTCCGAATTCAAGCTCCACGATTTTAAAATGTTCTTTCTTTAGGAAATAGGGAATCGAAGTCAGATCCTTTTGGGTTAATATATGTCATTTTTCCATCGTATCCCTCTTATGTATGAAAAACATTATCTATGTCAACTGTTCAAGACAAACTTTAATGTATAACTAATTTCTAAAACATTAAAAAAATAATTGCACAGCGTTTCCTCTATATAATATTATAATATAACAGGGGTGGCCAACCTGCGGCTCTTTGAAGGATTATTTGTGGATCTCGATAAATGTACCCGAGTTCCTTTTTCATTTTTGTGTTATTATATTTTAATACTTTTCTGAATCCATTTGAAATCAACATAATTCAAGGTGAGTTTTCCATTTCCAATATAATTATGACCCAAAAAGTATCTGAAAAATTAGAATTAATAGAAATGCAAGACGATCAAGCTCTACAATTAAAATATAAGTCGACGTTGATTACTGAATTTTGAAAACTTGTACCAGAATCGAAGTATCCTGAATTAAAAAAGGCTGCTTGTCGAATTACTTCAATACTTGGAACAACTTACTTATGTGAATCATTTTATTTCGCTTTAAAATTTGTGAAATCCAAACACCAATCAGTAACCAGCATCTCAAAGAATTACTGAGAAGTGCTGTCACCAATTATTCACTAAATTTTAATGAAATATCAAGAGAAGTAAAATAAATGCGTTTAAATTTTAATATTTAAATTCAATACACATATTTCGTTATTTTATTTATATGTTTTCAATAAATATAATTTCTGGAAAAAAAAATTTATAAATTTTTTGCATACCTTTTAAATACGTATTTAATTGCGGTTCCCAAAAAATTTCAAATTTTGAAAAATAGCTCTACTATCAAGGAGCTTGGTCACCCCTATAATATAATATTATAATAAAATGCCGACCGGCCTGTGTAGGGGTTAGGGAACCGCCCTTGCATCAGAAAGGTTCTGGGTTCGTATCCCGTGCAAGGCATGGATGTTCTTTCTGTCTCTGTACTATCTGTCCTTACTGTGGGAGCAGCGTTGGCCCACCTAATATGGTGCCCTGAAAGAGAGGCCAACAAAATTGCCCTGTATATGCCTGAATTGACGAAAAATGTTAACACAGGTGGACATTGTAAAAAAAATTATTGTAATAAAATATGTCAAAAGTTTAGTTGAGCTGTTTTTATCAATACATTTAAATTAATTTCGTAGTTAAAGTATCTGATATAAATTTTAAAGAATAAGCATAAACATGAGAGAAATAAAAAATAGATACTTGGAATGTACTGACTAATACATTTCTCTTTTAAAAAAGCTTTACAACAATTTCTGATAGATACATGAGGCAAAATAGTAATAAAAAATTGCCGAGAACGAATGAACTTTTCATTGCACCAAATGCCATTGAAACTTAAAGTATCGAAATTAAATGGTCTTGGAAACTAATACTGACGCAAAAAAAGGATAAGAAAAGCGAGAAAAGATCTAAAGGTCGAAAAGGTCTGTGTATCACCATGGTGCAGTGAAATGCGATGAAAGATTAACCACTTTAAGGGTAATATTTTTTTAAAACTTTTATAGGCTCATAACAGCCAAGTCAAATTCTTAAATCAAAAAACTCAAACCAACCATTCTCTTGTCGCTTTTTTCCGAGGTTAAGGTGGTTAAGTAAAGAAACATTTAAAACTACATTGGCACATCCTTACAAAAATGTCTGTCGATTTATATTACCGAAAAATTATATCTAAAGACAGATCATAACCAGGTAATGTATCAATTCGATCATTAAGTTGATTCGAATTTTTATTTATTAAATCCAATTTAATTTATAAATTCGACAATTAAGTTGAATATCAATTTTATTTACAAAATGCTGAAACATTATAAAATAATAACTGAAAAGTAAAAGCATGTCTAGAAAATAATCATAAAATGATTTGAAAAGAGACAAAATTATCATACTGTAGACAAAACTAGAATTTGAAATGTCATTTTTAAACCGCTAATGATTAAAATAAAAAACAGAGAAAAACTGTTTTGTGAAAAATAGCTTCAAACCATCAAATATACGGGGAAAGTCTCTAATTTTTTTACATATCATTAAAGTGAGTACATATTATTATTAAAGTAATTATTAAAGCGAGAATTTTTGCAGTGCGCGGGTGACTTTTAAAAACAGAAAAAAAATCTGTATTTCTTTTTAAAAAGTTTTTTCGTAAAAAAAAATGTTTCTTTTTTCTGCATAATTTATACTTATTTTTAACTGTGAAGAAACTCAAAAATACGTTTTTCGACTACAATTTTACTGAAAAATTTGACTCAATTTTTCTAGATATTGAAATAACATGCCTTTTTACAAAAAAAAAATCAATTAGCAGCAATCGTATCAAACTGCCAAGTTTTGAGTGATGGAGTAAAAGAAAATAAGAATTATGAACACGTCGTTCATAAAGATTAAATTAGAATAGATCTCACACACGAGAAATTAGGCGTGTAAATTAAAGCTTAAAACAAATGACAAAAGAATTAACTTGCTCTTTTTATTTATTTTACTTTCAATGACCTATTTGCGAGAGTAGTCTCAATTAGGACAAGACGCCGCGCTCTCTTTTGAAAAGAACAAAAGTGACAAACTAACAATCACCTAGCAATCTTCCTTAGTATAAATAACTACACATCGTACGATTCACCTGTCGTGTATCAGAATTCATCACTGAATATGTTAATTTCAATCAAAACTGTGATATATCGTGCATAGCGGACGTCTTTGAGACATATTTTTATATTTATGAATTCTCATCATTTCTGCATCGGATACTGTCCTATCAAATCATTCTTGGGTATATTAGAATAATAAAGGTAAGAATAATGTTTATAGAAATTATTCAGTGCCGGTCGAAGCATCACGTGACCAGAAACGTCATTTTATGTGGCTAGACGCCAAACTTTCTTCAATTGGCATTAATGTGCAAAGATCTCAGATTAACTCGCATGTAAACATGGACACATGGTGGATAATTTCTACTATTGTTATGTTGACAGGTAAGTTAAACTTTTTCTATTAAAACATTGCAGTGTTCATATTTTTATTATTTTACTTGCATAAAAGCACTCTCATTTTAGTAAGATTAATTTGCTTATTGATATTTAATTTATCCAGGGAATTATCAGTTATTGTCCCTAATACATTTCAAATTGTTTGAACTAAAAATTTTAACAACAGAAAGAAATAGAAAAACGTTTTTGAGTGTATTATTGTTCTGTATATAACAATATTAAAATATATATCGTATAAATAGCAATATTATATAACAATTAAAATTACTCTGTATATAACAATATTATAATATATAGAACAATATATATAACAATTAATATTGCTCTGTATATAACAATATGAAAATTTAATTTATGAAATTCGAAACAACAAAAATTTACTGTATAGAAATTTTTACTCCAAATGGAATTACAAAATTTGAAATTGTATTGTTTCGATTTATTTCGCAAGTTTTCAGAATGCATATTAATATTTAATATCAAGATATATTAAAATCTTCCGTTAATCTACCTTTTAATTTTTTCCACTTATATTTTTTTACAATCTTACTTATTTTGAATAAATTAATAAGCTTAAAATTTACGTCTTAGATTTCAAGAAATGATACATTTATATTCGAAATATATACAAATATTCCCTCATGTGTATAAGTGAAGGGTTAAAAATTTTTTTTGAAATAGGAGCAAAATAGTGACGCTATCAAAATCTGAAGAACCAATAGTGAGGAAAGCAAGACGAACTTGGAAACTTTCATTCTAGATTTAATATGAATGTTATATTTATATTCGAATCACATAAAAATATTTAATCACGCATATAAATTAAGAATTGCAACATATTACTTAAATGCAGAAATAATAACAACGCTATAGGAATCTAAAAAGTCAAAAGTAAGGACAGCGGGTCTGAAATCAGAAAATTTAGTAGAAGATCCTAAAGTTTTGCTGGGGAATCAAACTGATTTTAGAAAGAGAGAGAGAAGAAAAAACTTATTAAAATTTTTAAAACAAATAAATTAATATTAGAAAATGCAACAACAAAAAGCCATAATCTCGTCATCAGCTCATACGGTTATAACCGCAAAAATAGTGCTTTCTGATATTGTATTATTATAGACAAGACAAAATATACCAAAACAATAGTGTGAGAGAAAAAAATAGATACCGATTTATGCACAAAAATTTTTATCAAGTAAAAGTATCACAAACATGGAAAAATTCAAGATAAAACACAAATGGGAACACATAAAGCGAGAAAGGATATCATGTACAACTAACAAAAATGATTTAAAAATATTTTTATAACACAGTTGCTAGGTTACAAAATATGAAATTAATGTGTAAATAGAGGGTAGAGAGATATATTTTTGAGGCTCGTTCATACTGGAGATTTAGCAAGTTATTCATATACCATACACGCCGGCCAGGTTGCCGAGCGGTTAGCGCGTTTGACTGCGAAGCCAATGGCCGCGGGTTCGAATCCCGCTCTGGGCATGGATGTTTCTCTCTCTTGTGTTGTCCTCTGTTGTGTGTGAATGTGGCCCACCCTATGAACGAGTTTGTGGTGGTGGGGCGTGGGCAATGTTACTCGCCGGCGTGACTTTGGTTCACAGGGGCCCACTGGGTAACGCGAAATGAGCAACACCTCTGGCATCTTCTAGGGCGAAGCGATTAAAGTTCAGTGCCTGCCATTCGAGAAAAAATAATGTACTGAATAGTTTAAAGTTTATAACTAATAAAAGGCCCCATTTTAAAAAACATTTTAATTCGAAGATTTTTAAAGAAATTCTTATTGTAAAAAAATTATTATTATAGAAAATTATTATTAAATAATATTAATTATTTAATTTAATATTGAAAGAAGTTGTCAGTTAATTATAAAATTTTGAACACGTATTTGCACGAATTAAATTTGCATATGGCAAATAAAATATCAATGCTGATAACTAAAAGACTTTTATTGAATCATATACATACAGAAGAGAAACATGAATTACTCGTTTTGCACAGATTTTTAGGCTCGGATTTGATCTGAATGGATTTGCACAAGGTAAAAATGTATAATAGCAAAGCCTTTAGGAAACTTATTTATAATAACATACAACTAACTCAATGATTTTATATAGAATTTAATTACTTTAGTTGAGTATCCATTATTTTGAATACCAAAATCCGGGCTAAAAATCTGTGCAAAGCAGGCATTTCATTTTTCATTCTCTCTCTTTTTTTTCTTAAATAAATGTTAATTTTCTAAAATCATTAAAATTTTATAATTAAATATCAATTTTATTAATTATAAACTTCTTTAAATTGCTCAGTATCATATTACCGTGCGCACATCCATTTTTGGGCCAGTCCTTGGTAACTAACAAATCAAACACGCTTCAGTACTGCAGTATAAGAACGCGCTATAAAACAAAATCCCTCTATTTAAGCTTTTAGCTCAATTTGCGCTTCGGTTTTCATTTTTTGTAATCTAGCAATCTAATTACGAGTATATTTTAAATAAATCTTGAAAATTCACTCCATTTTCGGATATAATCACGTGGACTGATAAAGAGCTATTTCATTATTCTGAGCTATTTCATATTAATTTTTTCCATGTTTTCCATGAGAGGGAGAGAGATTTTGAGTATGAGTCCTGAAAATCAAGCGCAGGTCTTTGGGCTATCACAGCAGGGGAGTCATCCCCTATGCGATTACTTCGAATACACCTAATGCACACTCGTCTTTTGAAGCTACACAGTTAATAAAAGTCAGAAGCTTATGTAGGAACAGATCTTATACTTACTTCCTCTTGGTGACAAATGACGCTAGATCTCAAAATCTATACAGCAAAAAAATAAAAAAAATGAAAAAAACATAAAGATTGGTTGCAGTAATTTTTCTCTGAATCTCTGACTCTATCTATTTTACGTTAACCTCTGATCTGTAAATGAAACTATCAACTTTATCAAATTTATACAGTCCAATTTCTAAGTTAAGGAAATGTAAAGGTTCTATTTGGTATAAACCATAAATTTAGTTTTTTTTTTTTTTATTATTATTATTAGGTTTGCTTTCTTTAGTTCTCTTTCTAAATTCGTAAGTTTAACCTTATTTAAGTTGATCCTTAATTATAAGTTATACTTTATTTAATTATTGGGCACCAGGTAAGATTTTTCAGGCGCCGTGGTCACTGGACTGCCGAATATCACTGATATAAATATTTAATTTCAAATAAACTAGGTTATAATTTACCACTTTCATGAGCATATTTGTCCCGCAGTGGACTGATCGTTAAGACACGGTTCCCAGCAGATCACCGAAGTCAAGCATCACTGACTGCGGTCAGTGTGCGGGTGGGTGACCACTTGGATCAGTCTGCATAGGGACCGAGGGAGTGCGGTATTGGTCCTCGTTAAACTGTGCCACCGTAAAGTGCTCGATTTCGCGCGCAGGTCGTCGGGCTACCGAAGCGGAATCCCCTCCGCAGAGTATCAAAATCGTGATGGCATGTCTTCGGATCATCCTCCGGGATGTTTCCCAGACCGTCGCCAATAGCTCATTGTAACTAGTGCGACGTAAATTAACAACAACATCAATCATGTGCATATTTAATTTTTATTTTATAACCGTTGGTGAACAGTTGACCCAATTTCGGATTTACGACTACTGATGTTTAACTCCGTAACTTTTTAATTTTGAACCCAATCCAGAAGACAAGGGAACTCCTGAATCAAGCATTCGGAGTTACCTTACTGGAGGACTTTTTGATTGAACTAAACCGCATTTTTGCGTCACATGAGGAAAAAAACATCAAAAACCTCCCACGGTTAGCCTGAGGAAAAGGGGATTCTAACCCATGATTCGTCTACCACTGAGGACAGTTTACGTCACATTATGGTCAGTGCAAGCGGGGTTCGGAATTCGTATAGACCAGTTGGATTCGAAACCGGGTCACCTCATTAGAAGATGAACGTTCTATCCTCTTAACCACTGTGGCTCCTCAATTGTGTATTCAAATAACATCTTCCAGAATACTAAAAAGTTTTAATTTGCTTTTAATAACTTAAGTAATTATTTGTGCACCTTTATCAAAATTAAATTCTTAGTTTTATCTATTAGAAATGAATGATTTAGAACTAGTTTCAATTGGAACTTGTTGAAAGAAAAAAGATAAAATATATAGCTGTGTTCGTATAAATGTGATTAAATAAGCAGTGATCAATATTTAAGAAAAAAATCAAAAGACATTTACTAAATCTGTAAATAATAATTCGGAACAGTAATGGAGCTTATATATTGCGGCGTTCCGATTAATTTCCAGAAAGCTAAAGAGCAAATTTCCTACTTCCTTCCTTTTCCGGGACAATTTAGATTTTTTCCCTTCTGTTTCACAAGTGCGTGCATCTATTAAATTCATGACATGAATATATTCCATGATTTTCTTAATTCATTTACGCTTCGTTTTTTCCTTTTACTTTGGTAACTGAACAATTAATCAACTAAAAAAATCATTCACAATTACAAGCTTTGTTTTCCAATGATTTCAAATTTTCTTTTTAATTTCTTTGTGATTTAAGTGTCCCTAATCAGGTAGTTTAAAGAAAAAATCTTTATATTTTTAATCATTAGTTTTAACGCTTGAATAATTTGGAAAAAAAAATTATATACATGTACATGTACGTGTATGTGTATGTGTGTATGTATGTGTGTATGTATAGATGTCTCTGTATAGATGCATATGTATATATATATGTGTGTATATATATATATATGTATATGTATATGTATATGTATATGTATATAGTAATTTAGCTATTAATATAAGTCAGTACATTAGTTAAATTTCGTCTACGGGATGTTCGCACTTTCGCTAAGTAAACACTGGTTCTAAGATCCCGAGGAGCCTCATTACCAAGGTCCACTCTATTTTTATATTTTTTTCTCAGACATAGTATATATTATGTTAAAATCAGTTTTGGATTTCGTGCAGTATAGCC